TGAACGATAGATATACTGTAACTGGCCAGACTGGAGAAGCAGCCGCGTCTGGACGTCTGGGCAGTCAGCAGTAGCAGCAGGAAAAGAAGCCAGCGAGGAGATATGGAAGGAACTTAATGGATAGAAATAGAAATTGAGGCACCTTTCCTAAGGCGTTTGTGCCCAGTATGGATGCTCCTTAGGGCTGGGTGCTTGGGTCCCTGGGTCCTGCCTCTGGACCGGTTCGTGGGCAGAGCTTTGTGTCTCAGTTTTTGCTCAGGCTTCCTGCAGAGCGTGTGGTGGTGGTGGTGGTGGGGAAACTCGGGACTGGACAGAGGAGGGCAGAACGGAGGGCAGTGCTGAGAGGGATCCAGGCTCTTCCTGAGGGCTGCTATAGCAGAGCCACCTCCCCTGCAGGGGTTCGGGAATTTCATTCCCGCTGTGTTATTGTAGATGCAATGAACTCGGAGTTCCTGTAGAGACTGTTTCAACCAGGAGGCGCTGAGCCTCTTTCCCTACTTCGGGGGGGGGGGGGGGGGGAGTGGGTGGGCGGCTGGATCTGACGGATCCTGTAGACATTGGGGGTGCTTAGCCTACACCCGGGGCTTCAATGTAGAGTTCCCTATAGCTGAGGCAGGTAAAACACTGCAAGGGGGTGGGGGGAATGGAGAGAATTCTGTCCGGTCAGCGGGCTGAAAGTGGAGATGAGAAAAACAGGGACATCTCTTTCCGGACCAGGGAGTGTGGCAATTGGAGTTTCTCTATCTGACTGTCTTCTGTTTCTCTGCCTACCTCTGTCCATCTCTATATCTATCTCGATTTCCCTCTATTTCTGTTTCTTCTGTATCTGTACATTTCTGTATTTCTGTCTGCCTCACCTTGCCCAAATATGTCTTTATCTCCTCCCTCTTGTTCCAGGACTTTTGTGCTCACAGCTGGTGGCAGGCAAATAGGTGCTGGTTTCAGGGGGCTGTCTGGAAGAAGGGGAATCAATCTACTTTCCACTAAACTTAAGCTTACCCTGATTGTTTTTTGTGAGGGCGGGAGCAGGGGACCAGTGTTCTCTAGGGGTGACGGTGAGCCAAAGTCCTCTTACTGATATCGCGTTAGGGAGATGAAGGGACTTACCCCCGTCAAAAGACAAAGAGCCCCCCCGCCCCAGCGAACCCCCAGTCCCCATACACACTGGCACACTAACAGGGATGTGAGACTGTGATACCGAGTCCCCACCCCCGCCCGCCCCCTAGCGGGGCTGAGTCACTGGCTGACATTCCAGTCAGGAGGCAGATGGAGCCCGAGAGAACTGCACAGGGAAGGTTGGGGAACGTGACCCCTGCTCGGAACCTGAAGACGGGAAAGACAAAAATACAAAGAGAGCGAGCGAGAAAGACACAGATGGCGATTTGGGGAGCCCAGCCTTAGCACAAGGTTCAGAGACAGATGTAACCCCAAGGAACAGGAAGATTCCTAAAGCAGGGCCTGGGCGCCTCGGAGCAAGAGGCGCAGGTAGACAGGTAGACAAAGTCTCTACCACCTCCTCACTGGTGCAAGTCTGTGGGGAAAGGGAGGGGCAGCCTCTGGAGAAGGAAGGGAAGCGCTTTGGGATACTAGACTTTGTAGACTTTGCAGGTGCCTTGGGTCGCATCAAGCTTGAGACTTTTGAGTCCTGCCTCTGCCTCACTGTGTCATTGTTTCTGCTGCTCATCTTCCCCAACCCCTGCAAGTGTCTTTCCTCTCTCTCCTCTGAACTCTCTCCAGAGAACCCTACTTTTCTATCCCGTATTTGGCCCCGCCGTCCCTAGATTTTTGGCGTCCCCTCGTGGCCACTGACAAGAGGACAAAGGCTTTCAGTCTGCTCGATTCAGCGAGTCTCCTTGCTCCCCACTCTTTCCCTTCATCCCCGGGAAAGCCCCGCAGACCCCCCACCCAGCCCTCTCGCAGCCTTAGAAACTTCGGCCTTGAGAAGGAATGCTTTATGGTTGGAGTCAGTAACCAGTGATTTTGGAATCAGGAGCAAGGGATCCTGGAGCCCCACTCTGTCAGGAAGGTGTGCCCCCCCCATTAGACTGTGTGATCCACTTGGCTTGAGTTTGAGATGTGCAAGCCTTAGTTGGGGAGGGCTAGGGATTTGTGGGAATCAGTGGAGTAGCTGGTGGAGGAAGGGAGCTGAATGGCTGAAATTCTGAAAATCGTAGAATTTCAGAACTTGAAGGAGCTTGGGCTTATGTAGCCCGAAGTATTATTATTTTTTTTTAACAAAGGAAAGCACGGAGACCTAGAGGGATAATAAATACCTTGCCCAGAATCACTGAGATTCTAACGGACAAGGTTAGATTCTATCCTAGGTCCCCAGTTATTTCACTGGAAATCCTTCTGCCCCTACTTAAAACGACAGCCTCCTTTCCTCTCCAGCCCTGACAGGAGAGAGGCAGTCTGTGGGGGAAGGTGCCCCCCATCTTGGGTTATAAATAGCCATCCACATTGGAGATGTTTAATCTTAGCAGGTCCCCAAACAGCTTCCTGTGCCAGCCAATTCCCAGGCTCTGGGCCATGGAAAGATGGGTACCCCAAGTCTCTCCTCCTACTCTTTTGTCCCTGAGCCTGAAAATCTACCATTCAAGATTCAGTCAAAATATGTGTGTGGGAAGATCTCAGGCAGGAAAGAATTAGGTTTCACATCTGGCCTGAGTCTTCACTTGACTAGCTGTGTGAAGATAGATCAATAAGTCCCTTTGCCCCCTCTGAACCTCAATTTCCTGACCTGTGAGATGGGGTAAGGATAGGCCTCTCTCAAGCTTGACAAACCTTGAAATAATATTTTTTCTCCTCAACCTCTATGGGAGAACTTCATGGACCTCACTGCAGATTGGAGAGCTGAGACTATCGGAGGTGTCATGATGTTAAACAGATTCTTCACTCTCTGGGGTTTAGCCTAACAAGAGGTGTCTCACAATGCAAACATCCCTAGGAAGGGTTATAGGTATCCCCAGGGGAGCCCAGAGCTGCTAGGTGGTGCAATGAATACAGCACTAGGCTGGGAATCAGGAAGATGCATCCTCCTGAGTTCAAATCTGGCCTCAGACACTAATTGTGTGATCCTGAGCAAGTCACTTAACCCTGTTTGCCTCAGTTCTTCATCTGTAAAAATGAGTTGGAGAAATGGCAAACCACTATAGGTGTTTGGCAAGAAAACCCAAAATGGGCCATGAAGAGTGGGATGAAACTGAAATGACAGAACAAAAGGGATGTCCAACACTGAGATGAAAATTGATAGTGAGAAGACATAGGTACCCTGTGGTAAAGACAGACCTGAATGGAGGTGGGGTACAAATCCTGGGACTTTGGGTCTGAATCTGGGTTATACATAGGGTGGCGGGGGGAAACTATGAGTTACAGGATCAGTAAGGGAGAAGTGTAGTTTTATGAATTTTGCATTGGGCTTAGGGTCAGCAAGATTGGAGTTCTAAGACACCCTTAGATACTTACTAGATGTGTCTTCCTGGACAAGTCACTTAAATATCTTACCCTCAGTTTCCTCCTCTGTAAAATGGAGATAATTTCCCCTCTTCACAGGGCTGTTGTGAGGATCAACTGAAATAACATATGTAAAGTACTTTGCAAACCCTCAAGTTCTATGTAAATACTAGCTATTATCATTAGCCTGAGTTTGAAGCCAGAGGTCAATGTGTGGTTGGGTCAGTGTGACTTACATAGGTCATTCTGTGGCTGGTCTGAGAGTGTAGTTAGAATTAGACTTAAACTGGATTAAAGGCTCAGTCTAGTACTCAAGAATGGAGGAGAGCTAACTGACCTTTGTGGGGATCAAACCATAGACCCTAACTGCACTAAAGATCTCCTTGATGCCTCCTGCCTGTGGGGAGGTGATTCTGAGGTTTCTAAGACTGTGCCAGCCAAGGTCAAACCCGGACAGGTTCTACCAAACTGGAAAGGATTTGAGTAGGGAAGGCCTGGGTGAAAGACTGCTTGTCCATCCTCTGAGACAGCCTAGGTAAATTCGGGGAAACAAATCTCCAGGATAGTTGCAATTAACGGATCGTACTTATTGACTTGAAGATTAAATTATAGAGAGGTCGGGATCTGCGCTGATGAACGAATAAAACCCGCAAAATCTACACGTATTGTAGTACAGGCTGCACTCAAATGCAGCTGGGAAGACCCTGGTCTGAGCAGTTAGGTGGAGTTTGAAGCCCCTGGCCTGAAGGGGGAGTCAGGGGCACACACACCGAACCGTTCTCGGGGAGCTACTCTGGTCGAGCTCAGGGCCTAAAGTAACGCTTCTGAATCCGAGGCCATCGCTGAGCCCACCCTGACAGCGCCTCACCGCAACTGCAGCTTCGCCAAGTCCGGCTTGTATCAGGCGCCCCTGTAATGAGAATATGTCGGCGGGGTCCTTTCTCTCTGTTCGGGGGCTGAGGCCCCGTTGGGCCCCCTTCTTCCATTCCAGTCCTAGCAGACTGGCCTTCCGCTTTTCCAAATACACGGTCGGAGGAGGAAGGAGGCTGGCTGGGTGAAGGCTGTCCCTTAAGCTGCCAGAATGGATTCAAGGAGCACATAGAACCCTGACGGAGTACAGAGGTTTTGGGAGTCCCGAGGCCGTGTCTAGGGTTGGTAGCCCCGGGACAGTACTTTAGACTGAGAACTGGCGCTTCTGGGGGCTTCCTGCTTTGAGCAGCTCTTTTCCTCGACCCCCCTAGTCTGCCCCTCCAGAAAAGCCGGAAGGGCTGGAGCCCGGGGCTAGGTGCAGGGCACTGGGCAGGGGATGGGGCGGAACAGCACAGTTGGAGGGCCCCAGCCAGGGCTAGGCGGGGCTGCGGGATCAGACCTCCCCTCCTTGTCCTCCCCACTCCCCCCGCCCCCCGTTCCGCAAGCCGCCGGCTCTAGAGGGGAGGCCCCAGCGGAGGCAGGGAGGTGGCCTGGGCCCACAGCCAGGCCTCCAGCCGTCTCTCCTGGGCCCCACGTGGCTGTTCCGAGGACACCGGGCCCAGGACCCTCGCCCGGCCATGGCCCGGGGGCCCAACCTGGGCCGGATCCCGAAGCTGCTGCTGTCAGGCCCGGTACTCAGGCGGGAGTCCGAGACAGAGGACGAAGCTTTCCTGCCGGAGTCATCCCCGGGCGGGCCCCCGCGCCTTCGGCCCACGCCGCCCCACTCGCCTGTCTTTTTCTTCACTAATTCCCCGACCTTCCGAAAGCGGCTGCTGCCCAGTCGCAGGCTCCGGGACTCTCACCGCCAGGCCCGGGTGCGGTAAGTGCGACCGGCCCGCGCGTCCCCCCAACCGAGCCCTAGCCCGACCCGACAGCGGCCCACAGCCCAGTCTGGCCTCGGGTGGGGTACCTGCCTGGGGAAAGTTCTTCTCGGAAGCGGCGGGAAACTATTGCCCGCCCTCTTTCTGCTGCCCGAGAGAGAGTTGGGAAGGAAGAGAGGCACCCTCGGGTGGGAAGGGCGAGACCAGCCCTGGCCCTACAGTGAGGCCAAAATAGCTGAGGTCTGACCTTAACTGTGCTGAAAATGTTTCGTTCATCCTACTTTTCATCCCTCCGCGACTGGAGGTCACCCGGAGCTGGAAATCCAGACGCTTTGATTGTCCTCCCCATACCTCGGAACTCTGGGCGCTCTTGTAGCCCCTCCCTCTTAGTGCACCTGCCCCGGTATTAGGCACCGCTAGCCCGAATTAGGGCAGCGGAACTACGGGTGCAGGGACAAATCCGACCCGCGGGTGGGGTCTTTGGAGACTGAGCTGGGCCAAGACATTTCCCTTCCCTCCCCTAAACAAGGGACCGAAACTCCGGGAGAATCGAAAGCCTCATGGGGCGCGTACGGAGGCCTTCTGTCTCTGGGTCCTTGTCTTTCCGTAGTCTAAATCTGGGTATTTGTCTCCCTGTGTAGTCTTCGAGTTGAATTTCTTGCTATAGTTTACGGGAGGGGACTACGTCCAAGTGGAGACATCCCCTAGCTCTGCAGTTGGCCTGAGATTCTTCCTTCCCCCAACGGGGAGAGGACCTGCAGAGTAGCAAGAAGCGATGAGGTGGGGACCCAGCCCAAATCCCTCGGCATTCATTGCCCTTAGGCACAGCGGAGCTCGGGCGTCACCGGGAGGTTGGGGGGGGCGGGGAGGGCGGAGACTCTGGCCGCCGCTTGGGGGAAGGGCTATAATAACCTGCGGTGATGGCCCCTCTGGGGCCAAGGGTTGGGGGAGCTGAGGGTCTCTATGGGGAGTTATGACAGGAAGGGGAGCAGGGCATCGGAGCTCCAGGGAGAAAGTCCAAGTCACTTCTCACCCGAGGGACACCCTACAGAAGCAAACTCCCCCAGCAGGAGCAACCCCCTTCCCCGCCCCTAAATCCTCTCTGGGTGGGTCCTTAGGGAGCGGAGTGCGGTCACTCAGAGGAAAGTTTGCGCTTCTGAGTGAAGCTTGCTGAGGCTCCTACCGGCTCCAGCTCCCTTGGAGCGCTACGCTATGCTCCAGGTTCCAGGACTCCTGGGTCTCGTCCCGTCCCTTGGGGGTGACCCTGGGCTGTTCTCCTGGCCCCTCCTGCCAAAGGCGGGGCCACATGTCCCAGACTCTGGCGCGTCCCCTCCGCCCTCAGGGCCGCTCTCGATCACAGACTTGCGGTTCCACTGACATCTTCTGTTTTGGGGCTGAGAGGAGCCGGACCCGCGCCGGAGTCCCGGCGCCAAGCCCAGCCCCAGCCTGCTCCCCCTTTAGCACCCAGCTTCTCCATGCGCCGCTCCCATGTTCTCTGGCTCCTGCCCACCCGGCTCCCCGGGGGAGGCGGGGGCGCCCCCGGCCCAGCCCCGACCCCAGCCTCGGCTCCCTGCCCTGGCCCTGGCGCTGCCCCCAGCTGGGCCCCTGACTTTCCTGGGTGCCGGCTCTGAGCCTGCTACACACTTCTCCTTCAGCGACGAGGACATTCGCCGGCACCGACTCACCAAGTCCGTCAGGTGGGTGTCCAGCCTCGTGGCCTGGACCTAGACCTGGGCCCTGCCAGGCCCAGACTTTGCCTGCTCTGCTTGGGGGAGGGAAGGCCTGAGCCCTTTTTCAGCCAGCAGAGAACTACCAAGCCCAGGCTTTGTTACCCCATGTCCTAGGCTTCTCAAACTCTCCCCCCACCCCACTTCTTACAGTGCCCAAGCTACAGCCCTGGCCCTGAAATCCTAGCTTGTTGGGGCCGAGGTATTGGAGAAACCAGAGAGGGGAAGATTCTCTGAGTATATTTAGAGTCCAAGAGAGGGAGGCCTGAGGGAATGGAGGAGGAGAGAGGGTCTGCTTTGTAGGGGCCAATGGGGACTTGGAGGGGTCTGAGGGGCCTGAGAGGGGCTTAGTGGGGGAGACAAGAGCTGAGGCAACAGAGGAGGTAAGTGGACTCAGAGAAGTAAGGCAGGGACTGAGAAACTCAAGGGTTGGGGAGGTGGGGAGCAGGGGCCAAGGGACTTAGAGGAAGGGCACCTGGATTCAGAAGACTGCTCCTTGTAAAAAGAATAGTGGAATCACCAGAATCAGAGGATGTCAGATCAAATCCCACCTTTGGCCTTTACCAGATGTGACCTTGAGCAAGTCATTGAACTTCCCAGGGCCTCAGTTTCCTTATCTGCAAAGTGAGGGTTTGGACTAGAGTGACCTCTCAGGTTGTATGCAATTTTAAGTCTTTAATCCTTTTGCCCTGGTCACCTTCCCAATGGAAGGAGCTCCTGTACTAGGCTTCCAGTGGAACCACACTGGAGGGGAGCTGACTCTGCAGGTTTTAGGTCTGGGTCTGTCTAGATCTACCATGCTAGCCTTAAGTTTTCCCCAACCCAGGAACAACAATCCAGTCGCCTTAAGAACTACTCAGCTGACAGGCAGCAGTAGTCTCATAGGACACAGAGGCCCAGCAGTTTCAACACATTGCAGTCACATAGCAGTCTTAGATACACATGAGGACAGAGACAAAACAGTAGTCTCAAAAACAGACTTTGTCATACACAGACACATTGAATACAAACTTAGAGCGGTGACAGAAAGTCATACATACTCAGAACAGACAGCTACACACTCAGACTGCTGTCTTGAAGACATAGCAGCCATATACAAGCCACACAAAAGTCTTGGGGACACAAACATAGATTCAGCCATTGAAATTCTGCCCCCCACCCCCATATACTTGTTTTGTAGTCACTACACTGGGAACTTCCTTGGGGTCAAGTCAGACTCAGGAGCCTGGGGGGGGGAGGGGCCATTGTAGTGGATGGGGAAAGGGAAAAAGGGGCCAGTTTGGACAGCTGAAGCAGTGTACCAAGTATTCATGCATTCCTACCCCCACCCCAGCAAAATTTGACCTACTGGGGTGGGTGAAGAGAGAAGGTCAAATGGAACCTGTATGTCAGAGGCTGAAGGAACCAGGAATTCAGGAAATTTGGGAGGATAGAGGGGAGATGTCAGAAACTACAAGTAACTCAGTTATCTGTGCTTAAGGTAGGGGGAGGAAAAAGGGAGAGGGGGTGTTTGCTGGTCAAATTCAATTCAGTTGATCAGATAGTTATCACCTGTGCCCTGTGCTTAGTTCTAGGGGAAAATACAAAATTTAGATAAAATACACTCCCCCACATTCATTCAGCTTAAAGTTCAGTGGAGAGATAAAGCACAAACGAGGGTAACTGGAATATACAATACTCCAGTTACAAATGTACAAACGTAAAATGAATTAGAGAGACTAGGCATTTATATAGCACCTGCGATGTGCCAGGCACTGTGTTAAGGACATGCTCTTACAAATATTATTTCATTTGATCCCCACAACAATCCTGCGAAGTAGGTACTATTATTATTCTTATTTTACATTTGAGAAAACAGAGGTTAATGAACTTGTCCAGTGTCACTCAGCTATTAATTGTCTGAGACCAAATTTTAACTCAGATCTTCCTTACTCCATTCCCAAGGCTCTATCTACTGTACCACCATCTACTGCCTCTAGGAGCAGATTAGGTGCTATGTGAGTTACAAGTGAGAAGGGGGAGATCAGGGAAGCCATTTTGGAGGTGGCATTTAAGTTGGGCTAATATAAGTACATGAATGCATACATGTTCAGTATGAAAAAAGGGGAGAACAGTCTAGGACAGCCTGAACAAAGGTATGGAGGTAGTAGAATACAGGACATGAAGCAAAATGCACAGCATAGGAGATACAAGTAGGTTTAGGCCAGATTGTGAAAGGCCTTGAAAGCTAGCAAGATGAATTTGAGTTTTACTTGAGAAACAAAGAAGAGTCTGACAGCAGCATGAGAGATGGATTAGGAAGGGGAGCTAGTGTAATCAGGAAGACCTACTAGTTTAGTGTAATAATTCAGGCCAGTGAGAGTTAGCTCATGCTAGGGCAGTGGCATTGGAAATAGAAAGGGGTGTGTGTGTGTGTGAGACAGAGAGAGAGAGAGAGATGAGGTGGAATTGAAAGTTTTGTCAAGTGATATGGGAGAGGAAAAAGACAAAGATAAGACTTGATGGTCAGTGGTGGTGCCACAGACAGAAATAGTGAAGTCAACAGGAGAAGCAGCTTTGGGGGCAAAGAAAATGAACTTGGTTTTGGACACACTAAATCTAATACCTAGGGGAACAGCTACATGAGTCAGAGAGGCAGGGTGAGAGCTTAGAACACTGGTCAGGACTGGAGCTGAAGATTTAGGAGTCAACTTCAGGAAGGTAGTAGTGGAAATCCTGGGAGGAGTGAGCGGTGTCATTGCCAGAAAAGAGCATGTGAGAAAGAGTAAAGATTGAGTAGCAGAGCCTTTGGACCAAAATACAGATACTGCCCCAAATCTACATTTGGAATGAATGAAATGGCTTCTTTACCTTCCTTAGCTCTTTATTGGGATAACATTACTGGAGAGCTAGGTAGGCTGAATGGAGAGGACTATCAGAGCAGATGGACAGAAAGGCCTGAATAAAGACTCCCAAGAACAGCCTCTATTTGTTTTGATCTCTCCACTGGGGGCTACATCGTAGAATAAATTTGCTGGATTTAGGGGAAACCTGCAGAGAGACTTTGGAATCTCAGATTGTGAAGGGGGAGATTGGGTGATGGTGGCATAGAACATCTCCATCTTCCCACCTTGGAGTCTTCCCCTGTTCCTGCCACAGGGCAAGGTCCACAGATTCTAAATCTCCATCCCCTGTCAAGGAAGTTACCAATCCTTCTTCTCCTGGGATCAGACCTTTCCCTCTCAAACCCAACCTGATCACAATTTACCTTCCTCTCCCTCACCAGGCTGGGCTGGCTCCTGGTTGTGTGGCAAGGACAGGGTTAAGAGGAGGCTGAGCTCCTGGAAGCATAAACAGGGGGCTCATGAGACCTTCCCCCCCCCTACACCTGTACCTAGCCCCAGGGCTCTGGAGTGCACAGACATGGGCCCCCAGGGGAGGGTGGGGCAGGCGCCATGCCAGGACTGAGCTGGGCCAGGTGCCAAGGCCAGGACTGAGCTTTCGATTCCTTTTCTCAGTCAGTCAGGGGCCAGTCCTCCCCCCTTCTCCAGGAATAGTCTGTCTGTCTGTCTGAATGTCTGTCTGTCTCTTCCTTTGTCTAGTACTTCTCTCTCAGACTCTTTTTGAGTCTCTCTTCGTTTCTGCCTCTCATACAGTTAGAAACTGTCCCTCAAACTTTTTGCTTGTCGTTTCCTGTGGTTTCTTGGTCTGTCAGTTTCTGTCCAGTCTTTGTCAGTTTCCCTCTGTGTATCTCTATGTCTGTAGTGTGTGTATATGTGTGTGTGTGTGAGAGAGAGAGAGGCAGACAGACAGAGAAAGAGAGACAGAGAGACAGAGAGAAAATCTGACTATATCCCTAGTCTTTATAAATTTCACACTCATTCCCTGCACTTTTCCTCTAGCAAAAGCCAGGATGGAGCCTAGAGAAATAGTACCAATTGTTCCTCAGTGACTTGGAAGGAGGGGCTAGTTCCCTGGTCACATCCTTTGTCGCATCCCTAGGCTCTGGGAGTCAAGAGAGACTTAGAAACAGAGAACCGTAGAGATTCAAGGACGTCAGTGAGCATCTCATTCAATTCCCTGATTATTCAGGTATAGAAATGAAAGTCCACATCAAGGAAGTGACTTGGTGAGGTCCCATGATAAGAATGGCAAAGTCTGGGACCAAGCCAATTCAATTCGAAGAGATTTATTAAATATCAACTGTGTGCAAAGACTGGTGCTAGGACTAGGGCTCAAACCCTCATCTCCAGACTCTTCCCATTCTTTCCTCCTTCCAAACCTTCCCACTGATTGATTTAATCTCTGAGACCCTGAAGCTACAACCTCCCTGCTCTGATGCTTGCTTTTCCATGCACACACCCCTCCATAATAATAATAATAGCTACCACTTATGTAATACTTTGCAAATACTTTATAAATATTTCATTTTATCCTCACAACACAACCCTAGGAGGTAGGTGCTATTATTATTTACATTTTACACAGACATGGAAAGCGAGGAAGTCAAAGGTTAAGTGACTTGCCCAGGGTCACACAGCTATTCAGTGTCTTGAGGTTGGATTAAACCCAGGACCTCCTGACTCCAAGTCTAGCACTTCCCATGGCTCTACTGCACCACCTCCAGGTTCAAGGGGAGCCCAGCTCAGTCAGTGGGGTGGGTGGGAGGTGAACATTTTGGCTCTGGCTAGAAAAGAGCCCCTGCTTACCTTCTGTCTATCCGTGTCTCCCGCCAGTTGTCTCTTCCCCATTTCTCTTGTCTCTTTGTCTCTAAGTGTATCTCTGACATCTCCCATTTGTCTCTCCCCCGGTTCCTATCTATATTATTGCCCCCGCCTCTTTCTCTGTTGGTCTGTCCTTTTCTTCATCTGTCTCTATTTCTCTCCGTCTGTCTCTCTCGGCTTCTCTGTCTCTCATTGTTTTTCTCCCCATCCTCTCCCTCTGCCTTTCTCCTTCTCTCCCTGTTGCAGCTTTGAGGTGGAGAATGGGCCTTCCCCATCCCCAGGACGCAGCCCCTCGGACTCGCAGGCGAGCCCGGGGCTGGTGCTGCCCCCCAGCGCCCCCCAGAGCCAGCGCCGTGAGTCTTTCCTGTACCGCTCAGACAGCGACTATGACATGTCACCCAAGGCCATGTCCCGAAACTCTTCCATTGCCAGTGAAGTGTGAGCATACCTCCTCCTAACTCTCCCCAAGATCATCTAGACCCAACACCCCAAGCATGATGAAACCTTCTTGTCTGTAACCTTCCAAGGCTGTATACCCACTATAGCCCCTAGTCCCAGTGCCCACCTTTCCCATCTCAGATGGCCTCCCCATTGGCACAGTTTACGGGTGTGGGAGACCTAGCTCCCCAAGTCTCTAAACTCTGACCTTTGGTTTCTGATACCTACTCCCAACTATGGTTTATTGCAGACATGAAGACTTGATTGTGACACCCTTCGCCCAGGTCAGTTTGAAGAGGAAAAGCTTGAAGGGAGTAGCGGTGGTATGGATTGAGCTACTCAAGAAAACTATTCAGAGAGAGATTCAAGCATGACAATCAGGGGGTTCCACATACTCGGGACTCTTCCTGAATGCCAGGGCCTGGCCCAGTGGCCAGGAGTTTCATTGATCACCCTTCTTATGCCACCCCAGGTGCTGGCAAGTCTAAGAAGTGTCCGAAGCAATTTTTCCCTTCTGGCCAATGTACCAGCCGCTGTTGGCAACAAGTGAGTGCCCAGCCTGGGGGGTTCCGGTGCTCAGGGATCCTCTTTGGTGGGGTGGGGCTCATGCCATGTCTGTTTTTCCCCAGGAAGTCCCCAATGGGCAATCAGCCAGCAGTATGCAAGGCCACACTCTCAGGTAACAGCCCTTGACATGGGAAGAGGAAGGAGTGGATGGTGAGGGCCCTGCCTAAGGTGGACCCCTCCTGCTATGACACTTTGCACCAATCTAATGCACTTAAAAATTTTGCCTAGTGTAGTTTTCTGCACCTGCATTATCCCCTATCAGACAATGAACTCCATGAGGGCAGGGGCTATAGCTTTTCTGAACATTGTGTCTCCTAGCATAGTGCCTTGCAATGAACAAATATTTAAATGTTGAATGAAAGAATGAACGTTGGCCCCTAGACAATAAGCATTCAGGCGCCCAAGCCAGGTCTTGTCCTCTTACCCTGAACAAGGATGGGGCCCAACCATCTCCCCTAGGAACAGCCTTGATCTTGCTACCCCAGCCCTTTGGCCCCTTGTCATTCCATGCCCCTCCACTCCTCAGAGGAGACATATCAACAGCTGGCCCGGGAGACCCTGGAGGAGTTGGACTGGTGCCTGGAACAGTTAGAGACAATGCAGACATACCGGTCAGTGAGCGAGATGGCCTCCCACAAGGTAAGCCTGTGGGTACTCGGCCCCCATGAATGAATCAATCAATCAAAGGACTCCTTGGCACTGCCAGGGTCTCAGAGCTAGGCTGTATTGGGCTCCAAGACTCATGCACGTGACTAGGATTCTGGGTCTCATGTACTTTTCCCCAGCTCGAGGACAGAGGTGATTTCTAGGATCCTGAGAATGAACAGCAACCTATGGGCCTGGCATTGGGGGTCCTGTGTCCCATCTGATCCTAGTGTGCCCTCAAAATGAGACTCTGATACCCCAATACCAGTTGAGAGTAACCCTGGACCCAGAGGGGCTTCAGTTTCCAGGGGTAGGGGGACAGGTGCACAGGGAAAGTAAGGAGCAAAGTTGCCAGATGTAAAGCATTTCTTAAAGTCAACACATCACTTAGGAGGTGGCCAAGCTCTGTGTGTGTGTGTGTGTGTGTGTGTGTGTGAGAGAGAGAGAGAGAGAGACAGAAGCAAGAGACAGGGAGGGGAGATAGAGGGAGGGAGAGACAGAGGCAGAGACTCAAAAGGAGGGAGAAACAGAGACAAAGCGAGGAGACAGACAGAAAAACAGAGAACATTCCAACCTCTCCTGTACTCTGTGTCTCTGGTGTCTGTGCACACAACTGTGTGGTGTGCATGTAAATGT